GGATCGGACCCCTTCACATCACCGCTGGCCTGGATACTGGCCGGGCCCTGTCCGTTCTGAGCGGGATCTGAGGCCGACTGAACTCCAGTGTTGTCTGTATCTGTCGTTGCTTGGCGTCGACGACGACGACGAGTGGCACTGGCCATATCAGTCTCATAGGATACGTCAACTAGTAAGCGGAGATCAAAGCCGGCACTATTGCCCAACCCAGGATTTGCAAACAACGCGTGTAAATCTTGATGGATCATATACTGGACTAGGAAGGTTTGATCTGCGGCACATAGACCTAATTCGTTGCATGTGAGTCCTGCTTCATAGACAACAGGGTCAGCACGTGTGCTAGTATAGTCAGTACCAGGAGTCAATGTTCCTGTGATCTGAGGGTAACTCTCGCCTAGGGTACCTGATGTATCAGCAGTTGTGTCGCTCCAGGCTCCCGGACCGGCGCTCTCTCGCACTTGACTTTGCACTATAGTAACCTTGGTCACATCCAGACCACTGAAGTCCACACGAGCGTACGCGAACTCTCCATATTCCAAAGCAGAAATTGGTGTGTCCCCAGCGGGTTTCGTCGTTTCTACACTGGTTATGGGATCAGTTACGGTCCACGTGGGTGCACCTCGCAGACGATTCTCAGGATCTACGAAAATGAATCTGTCGACCGTTACTGCGTTCTCGATGGTTACCAGGTCCGCATTGTCAGCACAGAAGTTGTCAGAAGCCAGCGTGAACTCAATGGTAGTATCTCTGTTTTGCTGATTAATCGGACAATCTGTCTCTGCCAATGTCTTGTAGCAATCGATTACTACGTCTGAGATAGTATATGTACCGTCCAATGTACACTGGCCATGCACGAGCTGGATATAGGCATCCTTTCTGCACCCGTTGTTATTTTTATCATAATCACCTGCTAGACAGTCTGGCATGTCAATGAAGGCCCCATTCGTTGCACCGCACGTTCCTGCGCCTGCATCCTCAGTGCACAGAAACGCTGTGTTGGATGTGCCCGCATTTGCAAGTACAGGATCCATGGTGAGAACGGAGTATGGGGTGCTAAGAGCATACGAGAGAGTTAAGTAGGAAGCTGAAGCTCCTGTGTTGATTGCCTGAGCTGTAAGGGCAGTATCGATTGCAAATGGCGAATACACTTTGACCTCGGCTGTTGTGGCGGCAACCCTGCTCAAAACAAGAATGCTTGTCGGGATGGTCACCATACCACTACGAGCTACTGTGTCCCCACCAACGTCTGTGGGTTCGGTGTATTCGAAAACGATATTCGACGAATAGTCTGCATAGCGCACGTCCATTTCATCGACATCATCAGACAGGGCGTAATCAAACCCGCAATCAGCTCGAAGCGAGGTAATTTTCATCTCGAACACCATGCGATCGGTGCATCCGGAGTCTACACTAGTTTGGGTGAATATCTCCAAGTTCGCGCCTAGAGTACAGGTACCCACGCTGAAGGATGTGAATTCACGATTGAGACCAGCCGGCCAATTGACAGTCCATTGAACACTTTCGTCATTAACGAGAGTGTTCAGAGTGGTGTGGTCTTGAGTTAGAGTGACATCATTTGGATTATCAACCGAGCCCGTGATATCAGCACAGCCATCATAGACCTCCGACGCTACTTGCGTAAAGCAAGTTGCATCACTGTAAAGCGAATCGCAGAGACATTTTTCACCAGCATTGGTGTTTAGTGTCAGCGAAGCACCTGCTTCAGTACATGCTGCTGATGTAGTGCCTATTAGAGCCACTCCAACTACTATGAGAGTTGGCAAGTAGTTCATGGTTTACGTTATACTTGTATTAAAATGTACAATTGTTTT